AAATAATCCCCATCTTTTCCCATAGTTTCTGGGTTCCCAGACCCCCGACGTAATGATTTGTTCATTACGTCGACCCCCAGAGGTCCCGACCCCTTCCCCAGGACCGGTTTGTCATCCTGAGTCGTTTTTTGACGCGCCCGAGGCCCGGGGAGGGCCCCCAGAGGCCGAAAATGGCGAAAAACCTCCCGTCGTGATTGTTTCGTTACTCGAGGGGGTCTGGGTTTCTGTCTTCCCCCCCCCCCCCCTGTTTTCCTATATTTTCTGGGGGATCGCAGGCTGCCAGAGAGAGAGGCCCGCCCCGGCGCGCGCCCCGTCGCGGCGAGGGGGGGGGGGGGGCGGGCGGCCCCGGGCGGCCCGGCGGGGGCCCGCGGGGGGGCCGAGGGCCGCCAGAGGCCGCCCGCCGTGCTGCCGCACAGCGGTCTTGGATGCCTCCGGGGGGGGGGTCGGAGCGTCTGGAAGCCGAAAAGGCGAAAAAGGAGGAGGAGGAGGAAGAGGAGGAGGAAGAGGAGGAGGGAGGAGGAGGGAAGAAGGAAGGGGAAAGTAGGAGGCAGGAGGAGGAGAAGGGCTGTGTGAGGAGGGAGGAAGAGGAGGTGAGGAGGGGACAAAGCCGGAGGTGAGGATGGATGCCTCTGGAAGCCGAAAAGGCGAGGAAGCAAAAGACCTCTGGAAAACCATTGAAAAACAACGATTTTGGCCCTTCTCGGGGCTCTCTTGGGAGGCCTCTTGGGAGGCCTGTCGGGCCGTCTTGGGGAGCTCTGGGGCCGTTTGGGGACCTCTATTTGGGCTCCTGAGAGAAGCGCTGGTCGGCGCGCGCGGGGGGGGCTTCCCCGTACGAGTCGGGCTTCTCCGTTCGAGTCGCCGTTCTCCGATGTCTCTGGGCCCTCCTCCTCGAGCGCGCCATCCGAAGCGAAGTCCGGCGACGTCGGAGCGGAGTCGAAGGGGAGGTCCTTCACTTTGAGCCCTTCCCCGCGGGGGGGGGTCCCAGGGGGGGGGTCGCCATCCAGATGCCCCCCCCCCGCGCGGTCCCGAGAGCCCGAGAAAGTCCCCAAGAGTTCCCCACGAGACCCCCAAGAGGCCGCTGGAGCCCCAAGAGTCTCCAACAAGGTGCCCTGACGGGGGAGACGAACGGACACTTCGAGCCCACGGCCCCGACAGCGTGCCAGGAGGCCCCAAGAGGCCCCAAAAAGCCCCCAGGAGGCCCCCGTCAGTGTTTTTTTTGGTTTTGCTCCCTCAGAGGCCTCGAGGCGAGGCCCCCCCCACGCCGCGCAGGCCGCGCGGAGGTAAGCCCACGTCGCTCTGCTGGCAGAACTCCCACACGTGGGCCGTCACCTCACCAACCTCAACGACGTGCGCCGCCGCGCTGGACTGGCTCCAGCACGGTCGGGAGCGGACTCCCCTCTGCGGGCGCTGTCCGCACGGCAGTCGATCTCGCCTTCTGCGCCTCGTGCCCGCCCCCGAGCTCACACCTCTCGGCGGGAAGGGCCCCGTTCACCCCTCGCTGAGCCCCTCCCGCCTCTGCGCCGCGTGAGCGCACGGCACACACGGCAGACCACACACGGGCCGCAGGTCTGCGCGATGTGCTGTCGCCTCTCGTCCAGCTCCTCTGGGGGCGGCGCTGCCAGGACAGGTGGCGCGCCCGCTCCTCCATCGCCTGCCCTGAGCGAGCGGACCCCTCTCTGCCCTCGCTGCAGTCCTCACTGCACCTGCTCGGGCCGCCACTGCTGCTGCTCCCTGCTGCCGCGGCTGCTGCGGCCACGGCCCCTGCGGCCGACCACCGCACCAGCTGACGAGGTGCTGCGCGTGGCCGCAGACCTGGCCGCCCTCTGCCTCTCGCCCCGCGCCTGGCTCACCCGCGCTTCCAGCGAGTCGATCTCCTCGTCGGGCACGGCCTTCCCCACGACACGCCAAGGCGGCGGCCTGTACTCCGCTTCCCACAGCTTCTTGCGCATGCGCACCGTGGCCGCTCTCCTTCCACAGCGTACACACACCAGCCAATGCCCACGCTGCTCCACCTCGTGCAAGGTGAGGCTGACCTGGGGCTTGGGGTCCTGGTGGCCGTGGGGCAACGTCAGGCCACTCTCCCTTCATCTCCTGGCGCCACCAGCCCAAGTTCTACACGGCCCAACTCACACGCGCCCCCAAGTCTTTCAAGGCATCCTGCTTGCCGTAAACGTAATCCTCCTCGGCCCCGCGCTTCGCCAGCGTTCACTGCTTCGTTGCCCTGCGCAACCTGCCTCTCCAAGCCCTCCAGCCGTCCCATGGCATTCTTGGAGCGGTGCGCCTTGACGTGCCGTACGCAATCGATCTCCAGGCCAATGTCCACCAGCTTATGCCAAATCCGCCACCGAAGATCAGCATGCGGACGCTTCCAGCTGAGGCGCCACCGCACCCCGCGCGCCTAGTCGTCTATGATGCCCTCGTGGTCCGTGAAGATCCTGCACGGCGGCAGCACCACCTCTAGCACCTTCAGGAAAGCCCAGAGCTCAGCTCGCTTCACCGTCGTCTGGACGTGGTACTGGCACGGCAGCGGCCGCCCATAGCTGCACCCGCGGCTGGCCCTCCTCCGTTACAGCCATGGCTGCCCAGCCCGCATGGGCCCAGCAGGTGGCGAGGAAGCCCCAAGAGGCTCCCAAGAGGCTGCCAAGAGGCCCCCAAGATGCTCCCAAGAGGCCCCAGAACTGCCCCCAGAGGCCTCCTAGAGCGCTCCGAAGAGACCCCAAACAGCATCCCTGAGGACTCTGACCCATGTCTGCGTCGTCGTCGTCGTTGCCCCCGTTCAGGGTCGGCGGCACCGACCGTAAGGCCTTCGCAATACATAAACACAATTCCCGGGAATCCCTGTACTTTTCCATATTTTCTGGACTGTCGTCTTCCCCCCCACTTCCCATACTTTCCCATGTTCCTGGGAATCGGCGTCTGTTTGTGTCTGTGTGCTTTTCCCCTCCTGATTCTTGTCGCAGCGCGAGAGGAGGCGGGGGCACGCCTCGCGATCCAGCAGACGGGCAAGCTTCGCTTAATCACTGCACGGGGGCCTAGAGGTGGCGCTCTTCGCAACAACGCTGGGGTTGGACCGACCGTCGTCCTTGTCGCGCTGGAGGCTCCGCAGCGCCTTGGACAGGTTGGCGACCTCGTGGAGGGCCTCGCTCTCGTTCCCCTTCGCCTGGGCCGCCAGGGAGGTGGATGGGGAGGAAGCGGACAGCGAAATACAGGATTGGGCGTCGCTTAATGAGGGAGCTAGAAAGGGGGGAGGGCGGGGGGGGGGGGGGGGCGAAAAATACACTTGTCGGGCCCCAAAGGCCCCCCTTCTGGGGCCGGGCTCCGTCAGGGGCCCCCAAAGGGCTCCTCTACTATGGGCCTCAGGGCCTAGTTTCTGCATCCCTCGCCCCACCCCATGTATCGCCCCCCCATTCTACGCGGCGCCCAAAGAACCAAATGTTGTCAATCGCCGGTGTTCCTGGATTGTCGGCCCCATGGGTGCCTTGTGCGGGCCTTCGGGACCGTCGGAAACAGGCCTGGGGCGAAGAACCATCCCCAGACAAGCGGTCGGGACCTCTGCAGGGGCCGAGAACTGACCAAAATCAGATAGGCGAATGCCAGGGTACAGTCGGGCCCTTGACCGAAGGAACCCTAAATAAGAAACGAAGCCCCTTCTATCGAAAACCCGAGGAAAACTTTGAAGCAATCAAGGAACACGGAGCCCCTCCCCAACGAAAAGGGTTCCTTCTTCAGGGCCCCGACTGTACCCATCGGTCGGAAGACGTGGGTAGAAACATGAAGTAGGAAAGAAGGCGTTGGAAATAGATCGTGTTTCTGCTTGCCGTTTGAGGAGGAGGGAAAACAAAAAAGGCTTGATTATTGAAGCAAGAAGGAGCCTAAAGTAGATTGGGATCAGGGAGTCCAGAAATCCGCCGACCCAGTCGGCGTGTGAGAGACGCTGCCTTCGTCGTCTCCGTCGTCGTCGTCGGTCCCCCTGAAACCCAAAACCGAGCAGAGAGACGTCGTAAAAGAAGCGCCGCAGTCAAGCCAGTTCCGTCGTCGTCGTCCTTCTGGGTCGGCGGCACCGGCTGGAGGGTATTCGCAGCGCCTGCTTCCAACGGCCGGCGGGCAGAAAGGGGGACAGGAAGCGAGGGCAGGAGGGGAGGAGCCCAGAGCGGGCAGGGGAGGAGGACAGGGCGGGGGGGGGGCCGAGGGGGGAAGCGGCGGGGGGGAAAGGCCCCTCGCCGTCGCTCGGACGTCCATTTCCCGTGCATTTGTCGGTTTCGTGCGTGTTTTTGTTTTGCTCGTTGGTCGAGGATGGTCCTCGATGGTTCTCGCCGAGAACAAAAAAATGCACACGTCCCAGCGATGCCAGGCTGAACGCCACCCTGACGCTGGCGGTCCCTGGGCTCTGCGGACGGGCGTGGAGCCGTCTGAGCGGGCCACGGGACGCGCCAGAAGGTGGGGAGACCAAAAGACACCGATACCGCTGCTCCCCGGACCTCTCCCGGGGTGCGTTCTGACCAGGCTTTCGAGGCGAATCCAGCGGTGGCGACGAGGGCCTCCCAAGAGGCCCCAACAAGGGGAAAACGAGGGAAAGGTGGCGGTGTGGGTACCTTTTCCTAGGGGGCCACGTGCGAACCCTACCCCCTACCCCCCCACGACTTCTTGAGGGGGAGGGTGGGGTTCACTTCGCTCGGGAGCTCCCGAGCGAAGTGAACCCACCCTCCCCCTCAGAAATCGTGGGGGGTATGGGGTAGGGTTCGCACGTGGCCCCCTATTCTCCTCCTCCGAGAAGGTCCCCAGGGCATCGCTGAAGCGCTCGGGCGCCCCGTCGGCGGGGTCCCGCCTCCGAGGCAGCGTGAGGCCGCTGCCGGAGCCGTCCGCGGCCAGTCTTGGGTCGCAGCGGTGCGTCCTGGGTCGAGACGGGGCTCTCGCGGGATGGTTCCCCATATCCTATGGCCAGGGCCTTGCAGTCGGGGCGTTGACCTAAGGAGCCCTAAATAAGGAACGAGGCCCCTTTTTTCCAAAGGTTCGACTTCGATTCCCCATCGGAAGCCTGAGGACAACCTGAGGCGAGCTGCGAGACAATCAAGGAACACGGAGCCCCTCCCCAACGAAAAGGGTTCCTTCTTCAGGGCCCCGACTGTACAACTGTCAGAGGGCCATACAAAGAACGGAGGGGGCCGGAAGACTATGCAGGAGGCCCTGAGGCGTACAGGGCCTTTGAAAAAATTGCGCGCAGAGGGGCGACCGCGGCTGCGGGAGACCGCGGCGGAGGGTCCCGAGCTCAGCCGCGTCGGCCCTGCAGCGCCCACGCCCCGCGGAGAGAGAAAAAAGTGGCCGACGCTCCTCGCCGTGAGGCCGCCTCTGGCGACCTGCCCGCCGCGCCAAGCGATGCCCCACTGGGGGGCCACGTGCGAACCCTACCCCATACCCCCCCACGAGTTCTGAGGGGGAGGGGGGGGTTCGCTTCGCTCGGGAGCTCTCGAGCGGAGTGGACCCCACCCTCCCCCCTCAGAAATCGCGGGGGGCAGGGGGTAGGGTTCGCCTGTGGCCCCCTAGAGGAGGAGGAGGAGGAGGAGGAGGAGGAGGAGGAGGAGGAGGAGGAGGAGGAGGAGGAGGAGGAGGAAGGAGGAGGAGGAGGAGGAGGAGGAGGAGGAGGAGGAGGGTAGGGTTCGCACGCGGCCTCCTGCCCACGACGTGCCCCAACGGCGGGCAGATCCGCGCGCGTCGGGGGGGGGGGGGGGCGCAGAGCGAGGCCGCAGCGGGAGGCTCTGGAGCGCTGCGGAGGCTGTCCCGGAGGCGGCTGGGGGCTCGTCGCGGAGACGTCTGGACGGTTCGCGCGGACCTCGTGGCAGGTCCCTCGGGGGCAGTTCCGGGGCATCTTGGGCCCGTTTCGGCGTCTGTCGGGGGCGGTTTGGGGGGCCTCGTGGGGGCCTCTCGGGGCCCCCGTTGTTCCCCACATGTTTCGTGGGAGTCTGGTTTCCTTCTCTGCCGCGTCGCACCTGCGTTCCTTGTTTCTCCTCCTCCCCTTCCTCCTCCTTCTCCATTTCCTCTTCCTCCCCACCCTTTTGCTTTTCCGTCTCGCTCGCACTTACAAAACCGCCGTGGCAGATGTGGCATTTCTTCGACACCACAAAGGGGTGCGTTGGGGGTGGTCTCCCTGTCTGTTTCGGGCGTGGCACTTTCTCGACACCATATAGGGTGCGCACGGGGTGGTCCCTCACCGTGGTTTCTATTCGTCTCAGGGCCTAGCAGGCGTGGCAGGCGTGGCACTTTCTCGACATCATAGGGGGTGCGCAGCGGGTGGTCTCTCACCGTCGTCTCTATCCGTCTCAGGATCGTAATGCGTGGCAGGCGTGGCACTTTCTCGACACTCGAGGGGGTGCGCAAGGGGTGGTCTCTCACCGCGGTCTCTATCCGCCCCAGGGTCACAAGGCCTTGCAGGCGTGGCACTTTCTCGACGCCAGAGGGGGTGCGCAAGGGGTGGTCTCTCACCGCGGTCTCTACACGCGCCAATGTCGCAGGGCCTAGCAGGCGTGGCACCTTCTCGACTTCATAGGGGTTGCGCAAGGGGGTGGTCTCTCACCGCGGTCTCTATACGCGCCAATGTCGCAGGGCCTAGCAGGCGTAGCATTTTCTCGACGTCAGAGGGGGCGCTGCTTTATAGTATTAGTATCAGTACCATTATAGTATTACGATGGTTCTTTTTATTATGAGTATTATTATTAATAATAATAACAATATTAGTGTAGGTATTATTCTTATTATTATTACTACTACTAGTATTATTAGTATCATTCGTAGTATTATTATTAGTAGTAGTATTATTATTAATACGATTAGCATGACTAGTATTATTACTACTAGTATTATTCGTATTACTATTATTATTGGTACAATAGTACGATTCGTATTATCAGTTGTAGTAGTAGTAGTAGTAGTAGTAGTAGTAGCAGTAGTAGTAGTAGTAGTAGTAGTAGTAATAGTAGTTGTTGTTGTTGTAGTATCAGTCGTATTATTATGATTTATAATCGTAATGTTTATAGCATTATTAATATATTATTCGTATTCGTATTAGTATTCATATCATTATTATTGTTAGTATGTCATGTATTACTACTGGTACGAGTAATAATGTTAGTATTAAGATCATCATTACGATTGGTGTTGTTATTATCACGAGTGTTAATATATTTTTCTTCGTTATCATTATTATTATTGTATTATTATTACCGCGGTCTCTGTACGCGCCAATGTCGCAGGGCCTACCACGCGTTGCACTTTCTCGACGCCAGAAGGGGTGCGCAGGGGGTGGTCTCTCACCGCGGTCTCTGTACGCGCCGATGCCGCAGGGCCTGGCAGGCGTGGCACCTTCTCGACGCTATAGGGTTGCGTCTCCCACCGCGGTTTCCTTACGCGCCACATGTCGCAGGGCCTAGCAAGCGTGGCACTTTCTCGATGTCATAGGGAGCGCGCAGCGGGTGGTCTCTCACCGCGGTCTCTACACGCGCCAGTGTCGCAGGGCCTAGCAGGCGTGGCACTTTCTCGACGTCAGAGGAAGGGGTGTTCACCGCGGTCTCTATACGCGCCAATGCCACAGGGCCTAACAAGCGTGGCACGTTTTCGAGGCCAGAGGGGGTGCGCAGGGGGTGGTCTCTCACCGCGGTTTCCTCACGCGCCAATGTCGCAGGGCCGACCACGCGTTGCACTTTCTCGACGCCAGAAGGGGTGCGCAGCGAATGTCGCTGCACGCGCCACTTCGCAAGACCTAGCAAGCGTGGCATTTGTTCTGCACCATCCGGGGGATGCGCAGGGGGTGGTCTCTGACCGCGGTCTATAGACTGTCCAGGCTCGGATTATGTGGCACGGGTGGCACATTCTTGATACCAGACGGGGTGCGCAGGGGGTGGTTTGTGAGCGCGGTCTCTATACGGTCCAGGTTCGGAAGGTGTGGCAGGGGTGGCAGGTTTTCGACACCAGAGGGAATGCGCACGGGGTGGTCTCTGAGCGACGCCTCTACACAGCCCACGCTCGCAAAGTGTGGCAGGGGTGACAGCTTCTCGACGCCCTCAAGGTACCCAGGCTCCCAAGGCTTGACCAGCGCCATCAACGGCATCGGCGGGGCAACGGCCACCAACATCATTTTCGCATGTCTCATTTCAGCTACCATCACTCCAGACATACTGGCGCAGGACGAAAGATTTACTTCTTGAGGTGCAAATGGCTCCCCGCTTTACTCTAATAGTACGCATGTACAGCGGGGTCAAAATCGGATACGCCGCGAAAAAAGGCCGAACACGGATCCAGCAAATCCGAAATCGGATCCGCGCGGGCGGAAATCGGATCCACCGAGGCAAACGCCAAAGCCACAATTGGACCCGCGCGAACTTCACGGGATCCGACGGTGGTTATCTCACGCGCGCCTGCTCAAAAATTCAAGCCGTCGCTCTGGGCCCGAAAGGAAACATTTTTCGTCCTGAAAATGTAATTTCAGTATGCGGGGTTCCTCGGTAGCGTACGTTTTCTGCTGAAGCGTATTGCTGTTTGCAGCATACATCGTGCAGAGAGGGACAATACAATCGGTTGTCAGCTCATCGGGCCCGCGGACATGCATACCTGAGCCCCCATGCGTTCCCCGTGCCGTGTATGCAGGAGATTCACTGAAAACCACGTATTCGCAACAAAAACAAAATTACTCCGACGGTAGGGACCCCGCATGAGAATCCTCTCGGCGGTCTGGAAATAGCCCTCATCGTCGTCACCGTGATTGATGAGGCGCCCTCACTGTCCCCGTTGCGAGATTATCCTCCTCGCCCTGGCGCAAGCTCTCCTCCCGCTCCCTACGTTGTCCTCTCCTCGTTTGTTGTTGTTGTTGCTGTTTTTTTTTCATTCCCCGCCATCTCCTCCCCGTTATATTGCATGGGAGCGCATGTCGATTGTCTTCGGCGCCGTCGCTGCCTCGGCCAGCACGGGCGCAATCTTTAATTGCCACATTGCGCCGCCGCCGTTGGGACAACCCCGCGGGCCAGGCCGTCGAGACTACCCAGCGAGCCGCTGGCGCGCGAGACCAAGCCGTTGGGACAACCCTGCGGGCTTCGAGCGGGGCGCCGCCGCGCTCAGGCGAAGGCAGCACGAAGCCCAGCTCTGCCGCGAGCTGCTCCGCCTCTGCCCTGGAGCTCTCCGTTCTGATGCCGAACTCCGATGACCCGCCCGGATTAAAAACATGAGCTGCGGGCCGCATAGGGAGGGGCTCCCGCTTGAGACTTCCTCGCAATGTACTCACAGACGAGGCTCCCGCCTAAAACTTCCTCCATACTCAGGTCCCAGGAGCCCAAAAGTGACGACACATACAGGCTTCCGATTGCCCGCCTTCGATTTCGAACATGAGCTGCGGGCCCCATGGGGAGGGGGTTCCCGCCTGAGACTTCCTCGCTATTCACTCACAGACGAGGTTCCTGCCTGAAACTTCCTCCAGATTAAAGCCTCAAGGGCTCAAAAACGACGGCAGTTACAAGTTTGAGGATGACCCGCCTCGGATTACAAACAAGAGCTGCGGGCCCCATAAGGAGGGGGCTTCCGCATGAGACTGCCTCGCAAGTTACTCACAGACGAGGCTCCCGCCTGGAACTTCCTCCATATTCGGGCCCCAAGAGCCCAAAATGACGACCCTGACAGGATTTCGATGACCCGCCTCGGATTTTGAACATGAGCTGCGGGCCCCATAGGCCAGAGGCTCCCGCCTGAGACTTCCTCGCAATTCACTCACAGACGAGGCTCCTGCCTGATACACCCCATATTCAAGCCTCAGGGGCCCGAAAATGACGACAGTTACAAGATTGAGAATGACCCGCCTGGATTGCAAGCGTGAGCTGCGTTGCCCCTAGGGCGGAGGCTCCCGCTTGAGACTCTCTCGCAACTCAAGCTCCCGCCGGATACTTCCCACATATTCAAGACTCAGGGGCCCAAGCGTGACGACCGTTATAAGTTGTCCGACGCTCCTCGGATTACAAACATGAGCTGCGGGTCCCATAGGGAGGGGGCTCCCGCCTGAGACTTCCTCGCAATTCACTCACAGACGAGGCTCCCGCCAGATACTCCCTTCAGATTCAGGCCTCAGGAGCCAAAAAGCGTCGACAGTTACGGGGTTCCGATGGCCCGTTCGGATTACTAACATGAGCTGCGGTCCCCATAGGGAGGGGGATCCCGCCTGAGACTTCCTCGCAGTTCACTCACTGACGAGGCAATTGCCTGAAACTTCCTCCAGATTCAAGCCTCAAGGGCTAAAAAATGACAACAGTTACAAGTTTGCCTCGGATTACAAACATGAGCTGCGGGCCCCAGAGGCCAGAGGCTCCCGCCTGAGACTTCCTCGCAATTTACTCACAGACGAGGCTCCCGTCTGAAACTTCCTCCATATTCGGGCCCAAGGAGCCCAAAAGTGACGACCCTTACAGGGTTTCGATGACCCGCCTAGGATTTCGAACATGAGCTGCGGGCCCCATAGGCCGGAGGCTCCCGCCTGAGACGTCATGGCAATTCACTCACAGACGGGGCTCCCGCCCGAGACGACACACAGGCAAGTGATGATAATGATGATGATGATGATGATGATGATGATGATGATGATGATGATGATGATGATGATGATGATGATGATGATGATGATGACAATGATGATGATCATGATGATGATGATGATGATGATGATGATGACGATGATGAACATCATCATCATGATGATGATGAGGGTTATGATGATATGAGTGATGATGATGAGGATGAGACAGGTGGTGATGATGGTGTGTGAATGATTGAGTGCGTGAGAGAGCCACTCAGGAGAAGTGAGTGAGCTAGTGGGGAAGTGAGTAAGATATGCGTGAATGAGAATGATCGAGTGAGGGTGTGATGGTGCTGTGAGTGTGTGGGTGTGTAAGTGAGAAAAGGCCAGAGAGACCGTCATCAAGAGAGATCCTCATCACGGTCTCTCCCGCAGAGTGAGTAAGTTATGAGTGAACGCGGGTGATCGAGTGAGTGTGGGTGAGTGAGTGGACGACGATGAGGCTTGATGGTGCTGATGGGATAGTGGTGATGCTGATGATGATGATGATGATGCTGATGATGATGATGATGATGATGATGATGATGATGATGATGATGATGATGAGTAAGATGATGATTGATGGTGATGATGTTGTTGATGATGATGATAAGAGGTGTGTGTGCGTGAAGAGGAGAGGGTCTGGGAGGACTGCGCGGGGTGTCCAGAGAAAACAAGAACCCCACTTAGGATGTGGGGAAAACAGAGGCTTGGGTGCACACCCGTTGTGGCCATGCTGTTTCCTCTTGCCGACGGCATTCACACAATTACATTTTCACCAAAAGGGGGCTCCTGTCGTGGGTGGTTCGACTTGGGCGAAGAACGCAATGTGGGAGACGCACCGCCCGAGGAAGCTCGTCCAGAGCTGCGGGCCCAGATGCCTCTGCGAGGCACAGAAGGCGCGTGGTAACTTACACCCGCTGCGCGGGGCGTGCACTTTCCAGCGGAGCACCTGGAGGCATCTCACTGAATCGTTAAGCTGTCACGAACCAGACCCCCATGCGTGTGTCTGGAAAGTAAAATTGACGTGTTATACAAAACACATGTCCACAAATCTGCGGTGGGCTTCAAACGGCGGATCTATGATACAGCACCCGCTGCGCAATCTCTACCCAGACAAAACAAGGTCGATCATGCGAGGGAAAGGGGAAGTCGTTTGAGTGCGCTTGCATCCACATGTGCCTCAGAGTGCCATCCCCATGCGAGGCCGCTTCGCATACCAGCAGATAGTTGAGCCGTAAGTATGCGCCGACGAGTCACCCCAACAGGGTACAAGAGAAAGCAGGAGAAAAAGGCATGAGAAGGAGAATGGAGGATGTGGACCAAGCAAATGTATCATGGTCGACTTGGCTTCCTGGGTTCTAGATTCTAGATCACATCCTTGGGAGCTGCGGTGTCATCAGGATGTGCATGCCAAAATGGAAAATCGTCAAGCAAATTCGAAACTTCCAACATATCATTCTCGCCATTGCCGTCTGTGTCGTGTTCTAGATTCTAGATCACATCCTTGGAAGTTGCGGTGTCATCAGGATATGCATGCCGAGATGGTAAGTCGTCAAGCATATTCGAAAACTCCAACAGATCGATCTCACCATTGCCGTCTCTGTCGTGCTGTTTCATGAAGTTGGCAAGCTCCTTCTCTGAAAGTGTCGCACCCAGCGAGCGCATGGCCAAGCGCACCTCCTCCTTGTCGATCTGCCCACTCTTGTCCGAGTCGAAAAAATCGAAGATCGTGCGCACCACCATCTTCCACTGCTTCGGTGACCGCTTCACGACCGCCCAGAAAACGTCGCCATCCAACTCCAACACCATGGCCCTCTTCCGGCACACCACGCTCGCGGCCCTCGGCCGGTCGTAGAGGATGGCGAGCTCCCCAACGATGTCGCCGGCGCGCACCATCTTGACGACGGCGTCTGTCCCGTTGATGGGGACCATACAGTCGAAGGCACCCGAGACAACCAAAAACATGGAATCTCCCTTCGCCCCCCTCGAGATGATGCTCTCGCACGGCTGCACCACCCGGGACCTCATCGCACGGATGACCACGTCCATCTCCTCCCTGCCGAGGCACCGAAAGAACAGGCTCCTGGACAGATGGCCCCGGATGACCCTCGCGGGCGGGAGCGCCTCGGGGGGGACGTCCGTGGCCGGGGCCGGCCTCGCCCGCCAAGCCCCGGAGAGCCTCCGCCGCAGCGCCTCGCCCGCGCCCGCCGCGGGCCCCGCGCGGGCGCCCCGGAGCGCGCCGAGCGCCCGCGCGGCCGCGGCGGCGCAGAGCGCGCCCAGCAGGAGGGGCGCGGCCCTGCGGGTCGGCCGCTGGGGCCCCATCAGGGCTCGCCCGCCACTTGGGGGTGGGGGGCAGCGCTGGCGAGTGGGGGGCCGGCAGGACGGGGGGGAGGCGTCGACCCGGCAGCGGCGACGCCTCGCCGACGGATCGGGCGCCGGGCCCCCGCCGGCGGCGCCGCGCCGTCCCTGGGCGGGCGGGGGCCAGCGGACCCCCGATCGGCGATCCGTGGGCGACTGGGGGTCGATGCCGCCCCCCCTATTCTGGACGCCCGAAGTGGGTACGGAAAGAATGGGTGCGATGCCCAACGGCAGATGTTGTCCCAAACCAACAGCGGCCGCTGTTGGGCAAGCGACCTTCTGTCTCAGATGGACACAGGCCGCGGCGGCGCGGACAGCGAGTCCTGCTCAAAATGAACAGGAACTACTGTTGAGCATTGTACCCATTCTTTCCGTGCCCATCCCGTCCGGAGATTTTCGACGAACAATAAACAAAATACCAAAAAAAACAAAAAAATAATCAACAAATCCTCTGGGGACTATTTTTTGTATGTTTTTTATTTTTCGTCGAAGCTCCCCCTGTAGGGGGACACGCCCGACATAACACGATGCCTGTCCCCCAATATCGTTGCCCCTGACTGGGTCTGGGCGGCGGCGGCCCGGGGCGCCCGCCCACCGGGGCGCGACGCACAAAACACGCAGGCCCCGCGCGCCCGACGACTCGAGCCAGAGCGGCCTGCGCCCAAATGGGCTACGGAGGGCCTCTTGGGAGCCTCCTCTGGGCCTCCTTGGGGGCCAGGAGGAGGTCTTCTCGGAAGGCGGCGTGGCTTCTCGGAAGCCCTCGCGCCTTCCGAGGAGCTTTGTGTGCCTTCGGGGGGAGGCTCAAAGCATTTATCTCAGAAGGCCAGGGGGCTTCCGAGCCCTCTGAGAAGGCCCGCAACTTCCCTGACCTTCCAGAGAGCTATCTTTTAGCACGGGAGGCCTAAAAACCTAAAAAACTAAACGAAACAGCCTAAAACCAAGACATAGAATAGCTCTGGGATAGGTTTCTAAGTCGCGTGCTATTTTTGTTGCCCTCCTGGAAGGTCAGGGTTCTCACTTCCCCCCCTCGCCCGCCGCCGATGACGATCGACGGCTGCCTCGACAAAAAGAGTTCCCCTGGGTGCGGGAGGCGGCAAAATCTATACATCCCCACTGCTCCTCCTCCTCCTCCTCCTCC